AAGAGAATTCAACCTTATATTCCAAAAGTATTTGTAAATTGTTTATATTCCTTCACTCAGAAAATTCAACCTAAACAGCTCAGTGCAATGTGTGCAGACCAAGAGACATTCCCAGTGGTTTGCCTTAAATGATATCCTAGCACTGGAGAAACTATAGCAGGAAGATGATGCAAACACAATGTGGACCCTATCTCAACAAAAAAACAAACACAGGCATGGTGGTACACACCTTTCATGCCAGCACTGAGAAGACAGAGACAGGCAGTCTCTGAGTTCGAGACCAGTCTGGTCTACATAGCAAGTTCCAGGCCAACAAAGGATACACAAGGAGACTTTGCCTCAAAAACAAACAAACTGGGGCTAGAGAAATGGTTCAATGATGGTTCCATTCCCAGTCCCCATCTGGTGGTTCATGATTTATTATATAATTATTATCTATTATATTATCTATATTATCTATCTATTATATATATTTACCTATATAACTGTTATTCCAAGGGATCCAATTCCTTCTTTTGGCCTATGTGCTCAAGACATACAGGGCACATACATGCACGCACGCAAAACATTCATACACATAAAATAGATAAATCTTTTAAAATTCAAAATAAATACAGGAACGAGAAAAATGAGTAAACAGGTAAAGGTGTTCACTGTCAAGCATGACAATCTAAATTCAGTCCCCTGGACCCACATGGTAAAAGAGAACCAATTCCCTCAAGTAATCTCCATTACCAACACATGCATGTTATGGTGCGCGCATGCGCGCGCACACACACACACACACACACACACACACACACACACACTGAAGATGTAGCCCAGTGGTATAGCATTTGCCTAACATGAATGAAAGGCTGTAGGCTCAAGCACTATTGCAAAAAAAAAAAAAAGGAAGAGAAAAAGAATGTTTGGACCCACCAGGCAACACCATTAGTGACTTTTTCATGGTATATGTTTGTTTCTTTAGTCATTTACTTAAAACTGGATATTAAGTGATCAAATAAGTGATGGTCACTTCTGGGCAGTGGAATTATGACTACTCTAAATTTCCTTCTTTTCTGCATTTTTCCCAGAACATCAAAATGAATTTGCTGCTTTTGTTGAGAAATGACTGGCTTCTTGTTTTGTTAAGACAAGGTCTCCCCCATCACCTATGCTAGCCATAGACTCAGTCTCCTGGGTGCCCGGATTGCAAGTGTCCTGGGGATGCAACTTGGGGGCCTTGCACTCTACCAACTGAGGCACATCCCCAGCTCCATATCTGTTTCTTTCAAATGGTCTGCTCAGGGTGGGCAGTGGTAGGCAGGTGGATCTCTGAGTTCAACCTGGTCTATTGAGTTACAGAGCAAGTTTCAGGACAGCCAGTGCTACACAGAGAAACCCAGTCTCGAAAGAAAGGGAGGGGGGAGGGGGAGGGAGGGAAGAGGGAGGAAGGGAGGGAAGAAGGAGGGAGGGAGGAAGAGAGAAGGGAGGAAGGGAGGGAGGGAGGGAGGGAGGGAGGGAGGGAGG